CCTGTGAATACGCTATTGCAGTAGTCGAGTCTACTGAAAATAAAAGCATTTATTTTGCAGAGGCTAAAATCCATACGGCCCCTTTAAACCAAAATAAAATAAAATAGTATACCTTAGGTCGCTATAAAAGTGATGAAGTGATACTGATTAATGTTTGAGCCAAATGTCATGCCAAGCTAAAGTTTACATCATGCTTGCTAATGTTGCAAGACTTAGGTCTATTCTTCAAAGCCAATTCAAGCTAGAATTAGAGTGAAATATTTTACTTGCTTTTCTCTATTAATTGTTTTCAAAAATAAGGTCCAATAAAATAGCCTTAATATGTGTTTAGTGAAAAAAGATTGTTCATATATAACGCTATCGGGGAACTTGCACTGAACACTTTTCCAGAGTCAAAAACTGAAATCAAATCAACTGATATCAAACAGATGTTGTTGATAGGCATACATGAAATGAGCAAAACTTAGCAAGTTCACTCAAACTGACCCGTGAATGCTATGTTTTGCGGTATTATAAGGTGTGACTGTGGCTATTGGGTGTGTAGCAGAGTAAGAATGAGGTGTCTGAGCACCAGTGGGCGTTCTAGAATATTTTACATGGGGTGGCAGAGGGGGGGCCGACAGTACCTGGTATTTTAACAGCTGCACACTTCTGACAGAGTGTGTTTGCAGACATGTTGGCTGTTCTCTTCCTAATGAGAGGCTCCCAGTTATCACTGCCAGAGCAGCAGCAGTGTGTTACCTGGCTCACCTCAGACAGTGAGGGGTCTAGAACATGTTCCATGGGGGGGCAAGAGGGGGGCCAGAGGTCAGGGTGGCATGGGAGGGCCGACAGTACGTGGTATTTCATACTCTATAACTGACTTTTTGGAGAACTACTGAGGCCCCAAAAAGGTGTTAGCCATATAATATGTCTGGTCATGTCCAGTCCTGTACATCAGAAGCCATGCCAAGTTTCCACCTATGGAGGAGGTGTCTTTATGCTTTTCAGTCCTGTTTCGGGCATAAAAACACTAGTAGAGAGAGAGAGAGAGAGAGAGAGAGAGAGAGAGAGAGAGAGATAGATAGAGAGAGAGATAGAGAGAGAGAGATAGAGAGAGAGATAGAGAGAGAGAGAGAGAGAGAGAGAGAGAGAGAGAGAGAGAGAGAGAGAGAGAGAGAGAGAGAGAGAGAGAGAGAGAGAGAGGAGGGGGGTTCCCCTGGTATGCTCTCTCCCGTTAAGCTCTCTCTCGGACTAGATGACTAGATGTGTACGTGAATTGATTTGTTGAATGAAAGTTTGAATGTGCTTTTTATTATCACCGGTCATTTATGAGGAGATGCCTCTAACTTCTGTCAGACGATTTTAACTGTCACAACTGAATTGGGCAGTTGAAGTTACAATTTAGGGTAATAAATGTAAAACTGTGAATTGAGGTTTCCTATTAGCACATGACCACAGCATGATATGTTTAGTATGATTATAATGTTGTAAAGAGAGAAGGTAAAAGCCCTGTATTAGTTTGGACCTATTTTTCTTCAAATAAACGGATCCCACCTTTTGGACTGGGACAACTAAAAGACCTCTGCGCTCTCCTCTCCTGCTTCAAAGGTAAGATTGCACCCTGCCACACTCACACTTAGGTAGGGCCACACCTCTTTACTGATATCAAAATCCTTCAGTAGTTAATAGAGGTGAGATCTTGCTGACGTTGGTGGATCTGAGCCAAGCAGTAAACTTACATAGACTCAATAACTTCGGTTAGGTCAATTAGTAGGTCTGAGTCATTTCCTGGAATAAATTATCAGCCCTCCCGACTCCCAAGAAGCTTGAATCCTTTCCCTTACCTGAACTGCCAGCGTGAGAGACCTGGGACATGTTTGAGATGCCTTTGAATGTTAGCTGTACTGCCTGAGGGATTTTGGATGCCTAACAGCAGCCAACCTATAATCAAACTGTCACCTATTACTTTCCATTGAGTTTGTTTTATTACTAAAGTGATTTATATATGATCATATTGTGCAATGTGTCTTATTTAGGTCAGCATTATATTTCACAATGTTTAAGCTATTGGAATATTTGTTTCATCCTCCTGTCCTCGCAGTGAAACTTGTTTCTCACAGTGTGGTGGTGCTTGACATGTCGTTATTTCATTATTTACAGTTCGTTGACACGAAGCTCTGTTTGGGATCACCAGTGCCACACCCTCTTGGTATTCTATCACAGCGATGTGTGATTGCACAATAGTACAGAGAGCTCAGCTTTTGTCGTCTTGCACCGTATGATTTGAACTAACTTTACACCAACCTCTTGGTTCTGCTGTTAGTGGGAAGCTATGATTGCATTTATTTTAACACTCACAATGACTTTGTACAAAAAACATGACATGTGATGTGGTATAACTTCTCCACAGTACTTCAGGCATCTACATTTTGTCCACATTGACAAACTACAATAAAATGCTCTGACATGTATAAAAACGATATAATATAATAATCATGGTAATATAATACTGTGAAAAGATCAAATCTGCATAACGAGTACTTTTGCTACTTGATGCTAAGTACATTTAGCATTTTATTCTTTACTTTTATACTTCTGAAATTGTGCAGAGTGAGTACTTTTACTTTAAGTGCTTTTTGATGCTAATACTTTTGTTACTTTATCAAAGTAACATTTTGAAATCAGGACTTTACTTGTAAAGGAGTATTTTAAGATTGTTTGTACTTTTACTAGAGTAAAGGATCTGAGTACTTTATCCAACACTGAAAAATGTCAATTCATAATAACATCTACCTCCATTATTCTAGTAAATGTACTCAGCTAAAAATAATGGTGCTGTAGAGTACTTGCAGAAAACTGCAAATTCGTAACAAAAATAATTGTATTACAGTTCTAATGACCCATTTTTGTTCAATCAGGAGAGACGGTTTTGATGTAAGAATACATGTATTGCCAGGAATACACAGGAGTTTTGGCGATTAGGCCCCGTTGTGCAAGAGTATCATTCGGGAGGGGAGACCCGATCCGATGAAACCCCCGGGGTCTAGACCCTGGTGGTGGTGAATGGATAGTTTGGTTCGGTCTGAAGGGGAGGGGCTTAGCTTGACCCTGGTGGTGGTGAATGGATAGTTGGGTTCGGTCTGAAGGGGAGGGGCTTAGCTTGACCCTGGTGGTGGTGAATGGATAGTTGGGTTCGGTCTGACGGGGAGGGGCTTAGCTTGACCCTGCTGGTGGTGAATGGATAGTTGGGGTCGGTCTGAAGGGGAGGGTCTTAGCTTGACCCTGGTGGTGGTGGTGAATGGATAGTTGGGTTCGGTCTGAAGGGGAGGGGCTTAGCTTGATCCTGGTGGTGGTGAATGGATAGTTGGGGTCGGTCTGAAGGGGAGGGGCTTAGTTTGACCCTGCTGGTGGTGAATGGATAGTTGGGGTCGGTCTGAAGGGGAGGGTCTTAGCTTGACCCTGGTGGTGGTGAATGGATGGTTGGGGTCGGTCTGAAGGGGAGGGGCTTAGCTTGACCCTGGTGGTGGTGAATGGATGGTTGGGTTCGGTCTGAAGGGGAGGGGCTTAGCTTGACCCTGGTGGTGGTGAATGGATAGTTGGGGTCGGTCTGAAGGGGAGGGGCTTAGCTTGACCCTGGTGGTGGTCAATGGATAGTTGGGGTCGGTCTGAAGGGGAGGGGCTTAGCTTGACCCTGGTGGTGGTGAATGGATGGTTGGGGTCGGTCTGAAGAGGAGGGGCTTAGCTTGACCCTGGTGGTGGTGAATGGATAGTTGGGGTCGGTCTGAAGGGGAGGGGCTTAGCTTGACCCTGGATTCAGAGGGACAGGAGGTGAAAAGGGGGGGAGGAGGGTTGCGATCACTGATTGAAAGGAGAGAGAGGAGTAAAATAGAAATAGTAAATTAATGAGTAAAGACGGTCTTCCTGGTTGAACTTGCGCTGAGCTTCATTTGTCTTTTTACGGCATCTTTTTTCTATACTTGTACATGTTTTTTACTTTAGCAGAACTTTGCTTGGGATTTTTGTTTCCTGTTAATATGTTTAATCGTCTAAAACAATCTCCTTTTGAATCAAAAACTATATTGGACTACCCCGTATAGATTCTGATCTGGAAATGGAGCATTGAACACTTAATGAAGTGCGACTAAGCTGTGCAGAGCTAAACATTTCAGTGTGTACACACAAGGTTTGGTGAGTGAGTGTGAAAATGCTATCTCCAGAGAGAGAACAATATCTTCACTCGTATATCACAAGGGTTTCAACTCTCTTGGACGTGATTTATAGCCGTTTAGTTTGCAACCTCAACATGAATATCAGCAGTGAAAGGAAACATCTGCTATGGATGTGCTCAGACGTTTGCTAGTTAGAAGTAAAAACATCTTTTAAGATTTAACCAGAATGTTCCAAATAGTACATCGATTATTCTTATTATAATGTTTCAAATCTGCAAGGAAAGGTTTTAAAGCCTGTCAATAATTGAAGAAAAGATTGTGGTTAAACGGAAAGAAGCAAACAAAGGAGAGCTTGTTCTTGTTTGGGCGTGATGCACATAAACACGTAGGCGTATCTGTGATGAGATCTCCGGCACATTCTCTTCCCCAGGTTTGAACTATGGCCAGGTATTGACTGACATCTTCCATAAAAACAAATTCTAACTAGCAACCCTGCAGGCTATTGCTGAGCATCACAAAGAGAATGCATAACATGTTGAGATGTGAAGAATAACTGCCACATGACATGACAACAATGCCATGTCTTCATTTTCATTAACACAAATAATAAAGGAGAAATGAATCCATTATGTTTAAGGTCTGCAGATAAATGTGAATTGGAAGAATTGAAAGATTTAGATTAAGTGTAATCCCTCTTTCTCCTTACTATTGTTGGACACAAAGAACCTCAAGGGTGTGTGTGATAGGTGGGGCAGAGCAACCATTTGAGGTAATGCTCCTCCCTTCATTCCTACACAACCCCGCCCTGACCAGAGGCAGCATGCAGGATAAAAAGGGGACAGAGGCAGAACATTGCATCTCAGTCCAAGTCATTCTCTTTGAGGCAGGCAGATCTCCTGAGCAATCGTCACCATGAGTTCTTATTTCTCCCAGAAGAGCTCCAGCAGAAGCAGCATTGGTGGAAGCATGGGTGGGGGGCAAAAGCGATATTCTTCCAGTGTGAGCGGCTCAGCTGGCATCGCATCAAGAATGTCCAGCAGCAGTTATGGAAGTGGAGCTGGAGGTGGTTTTGGGATGGGAGGTGGAGGTGGAGGTGGTTTTGGCATGGGAGGTGGAGGTGGTTTTGGCATGGGAGGTGGAGGTGGAGGTGGTTTTGGCATGGGAGGTGGAGGTGGAGGTGGAGGTGGCTTTGACGTTTCGGCAAATGAGAAGGCCACCATGCAGAACCTGAACGACCGTCTGGCCACCTACCTGGATACGGTGCGAAAACTTGAGCAGGCCAACGCTGAGCTGGAGCTCAAGATCCGCCTGTTCTTGGAGAATAAGTCCTCCCCCAATGCCAGAGACTACTCAGCTTTTGAGGTCACCATCGCCGATCTGCAGGGACGGGTATGTCACATGACTTCTGATTCTTTAGTTAGTCACAATGTAAATTATCTCCAGATGAATATGTTGGAAATGTACATTGGAACTTGTTTCAAAGCACATTCATGATTTTGTAGAGAAATATTTGTGTCTAATGAAATCTGTCTTCTAAACACAGATCCAGGAAGCCACCAGAATCAATGGAAGCATCTATCTGTCTATTGACAATGCAAAACTGGCATCAGACGACTTCAGAATCAAGTAAGTATCAAGTTCAGGGACAGAATTGTTCTAGGACAAAGTTAGATGGAAAATCTTGGTAATTTAACTGAAGCAATGCGTGCATGGGGAAGATGTTGCTTCCGAGGTGCAGATGTCTGATTTATTACTGCCTCACAGGTGGGAGAATGAGCTAGCCATGCGTCAATCAGTGGAGGCTGACATCGCCGGTCTGAAGAGAGTGTTGGATGAGCTGACACTGGCCAGATCCGACCTGGAGATGCAGATTGAAGGCCTCAGGGAGGAGCTGATCTTCCTCAGGAAGAACCACGAGGAGGTGGGTAGCGAATGATTGCCGTTCATCTGAATGAGCTTTCATTCAATTAGCTAGAATGAAGATTGAAATGTACTCAAATAACTTTGCCAAACTCTTCTTATTCAACAGGAACTAGCACTCATGAGAAACCAGATGACTGGACAGATCAACGTGGAGGTGGAAGCAGGGCAACAACCGGACCTGTCCCTCATTATGTCAGAAATCCGTGAGCAGTATGAGTCTGTGGCCGCCAAGAATGCGAGAGACCTTGAAGCCTGGTTCCAAGCAAAGGTGAGACAGCCAAATGCAACATAAACATTCAAGTGAAAAAAGCATGAACTATTTGTAACAACAACTGTGCTGACCTCAATGGGGAGATCAAGTGAAGTCAAAGAACAATGGGAGAATACAAATACAAATTATAAATCAAGAATAAACATAATAACATCATTCATACTTAGCAAGGTCCTTTTTCTAGCAAACATCTTCCCCCCACCAGCCCAAATAATTATGCAATTTAACAAACAGTGTGTCAATTTGGTGTGGGGTACAACAAGGGAAGTCACTAAACGTCATTTATTATTCAAAAGTAAGGAATATGGAGGCCTGGGAGCCAGACCTGGGCATTCAACTCAAAATTACCTTTGTAAAAAATATTACAGCTGCAATAAATAGGAAAGCACCTTGGGTTGAGGATGGAGAAATGGGATGGACCCCATTCAAAATGAGTTTATGGTGACTTCACAACTGAACTTGCACACTTAGAGATAGATTGGATCGGACTACCGAATAGAGTGATTTTTAAAATGATAAATGATTTCAAATATGGTGGTTTTATAACATCTGATGAAGGTAGTGAAGTCTTGAAATTAATCAAATGTAAGCAGCTTTCGGAGAGCATGAGAGACGTGAGGTGGCTCTGATCTCGGTCAACAGACTAGCGGTCAGAGCTGTGGTCTCATGGAGCTGCTATGTGAAAACTAAAACATGTCCGATGGTTAACTGTGAGGAGGACGAGACTCTACAGCACCTCCTCATGGACTGCTACAGAGCCCAGGAGGTGTGGTCGCTCCTACGACGCATCGGTTTAGAGTGCAATGTCAAATATAAGTCAGTCATGTATTGTATTCTGGATGAAAAGGTAGACATAAAACACAGGGAACTTTTTCAGCTTGTAATTTGCATCACGTGTATGAAGATCTGGAAAACAAGACGCAAAATGATATTAAATCAGAGAGCAATAAGTAGCTACACCATCGTGAGACCGGTTATTACCGAACTAAGAAGAAGAAAAACCCTGGACGCATCCCAGACTCAGCCATGGGGAATTTTGAGTCTGTGACCGAATATCTCACTGGAATACAAACGTGCTCTCTGTTTAAGTTATTTATGTGTGTTTTGTGTATTATTAATGTAACTTGTGTACTCCTGTGTCTGTTATAGTCGGAGGAACTGAACAAGGAGGTGGCTGTCAGCACAGAAGTTATCCAAACATCAAGGACAGAAATTACTGATATACGTCGAACAATGCAGAGCCTGGAGATCGAGCTACAGTCCCAGCTCAGCATGGTAAAGGATCATCTACGGCAAATGTAATGAAAAACATGATGCACCCAAAATATTTTACTACTAATTCACTCTTTCTCCTCTCCCTTCCTCGTGTCTTTAACTTCCACCTACAGAAAGCGTCACTTGAAAGCACTCTATCTGAGACAGAGGGACGGTATTCCGTGCAGTTACATAGCCTACAGGGCCAAGTGACGGGGCTGGAGCAACAGCTGATGCAAATGCGTGCTGACACGGAGCGCCAGGGCCAAGAATACCAAATGTTGCTCGACATCAAGACACGGCTAGAGATGGAGATCGCAGAATACAGAAGGCTGTTGGACGGAGAGGTCTCGTAAGTAGTCCACAAAGAACACTTATTTCCTTTCATTTTACACAAATAACAACGTCTGTAAATTGAAGAATTGTTCTCATATTTAATGCAAGCTGTGTGATTCTTCCACTTGCAGCAGTGCCACCAGTTCAGGGTCTAGCAGCAGCACCATAACCAAGATGGTCGTTGTCACAGAGGAATATGTGAACGGCAAGTTGGTGTCCAAATCTAACACCTGATCTGTCTCGCACAAAAGCAACACATTGGGCCACACCTGAGGACCACCATCACAACACATTCTTTACATCGACATGTGAAGGCAATAAAAGGCTGCCAGTTTGCTGACTAAAATGTTGTCCTGTTTTATTAACTGTGTCTTAATTCCAAATAATGAGTGGCGTTTTTCTTAATAAAGCTCTGGTGAAAACACATATTTGCTCTTAAACCTGACAAGAATTGTTAGCATTCCTGTTTCAAAACCTGAAAGCCTTATAGCTTGAGGCTGTCACCACATAAAGGAATGGAAAATTGAGGCTCTGCAAATCTGATATAATTGCATACTGTTACGTCCCCAGCTCGCTTAGGGTAAAAGGGAAGCAACACGAAACCAGGTGTTCTTGGTAAGAGGTTGATTTTAATAATACATTCAAAATAAAGATGATATAACCAAAAATACAGGCTCTTAAAACCAGCTATCTGTTCACAAATAACGCTACACAAAACAAAGTCCACAGATTATCACAGTCATAGCACACTGGGCACGTATTACTATTGCTCTGCTCAACAATTTCCTCTGAGATACAATTAGTTCAGGACTTAATCACGCAGTTGGGCAACACAACATGGTGCCACCCTGAAGCAGACATGCATTCTCCAATGAGTTGAGATTTTAGTTTTAGTTTAGTTCCACTAAACCTAAAATGGAGAGTTAATGCTCAGATATCTGTCTTTCAACAGCAGACCTTGTGAGATATTTGTGTGTGACAGTGACGTGCGGTGAGGTTCATGGCTGGTGAGGCACTGACTCTTTCAGAGTCAGATTTACAAATATTATATTTTGACCTTAATCGAAATGTTCGGTTATTTTCAAAAGCTTTTTTAGTCTGAAGCTTCGATTCATTTTAAACAGACTGTTCAACAAAAGGATACCCAAGATCTAAATATTGGATTGTTCTTTCTTAGTAAGATCCCATGTTCATTACAATTGTGGTCTTACCTTGACTTGAAGATGAAGTCCATGCTATCCTTCTGGACAACAATCTCTATTACTTTTTTGTAAAAGTCCTCCTTATCTTCCTCTAGTTTCAAAAGTCTAGTTTGTTGTTTGCGTCTACCGTCTCTGCGTAGAATAAGAGTAGCAACAATAACCTGTGGGCTCACGTGCGCCTCCTTCAGTGCGGCAGAGGTTATGGCTGCCTCTCTTGGTGCTTTTTTCATTACCGTTGTATGATGAGACCAGCGAGCCTAAATATCATATACGTGAAATAAGTTATTTAGAGACTGTGGATGGCGAGGATAAATGTAATAAAGGGATCTACAAACATTACATTGGTGACATACAGTGAGATGGTGCAGGCATGCGCTTAGTGCCCGCTTTCCAGCCAGTTTCTGTGGGGTGACGCATTCTGAGGTGAGGCAGAGCTCATCTGTGCCTCACCTCACCCCACAGTAACTGGCTGGAGCGCGCTCACAAAATAAGTGCCCATGCTACATTAGTGCCCGCGCTCCAGCCAGTTACTGTGGGCTTACGAGAGGCAGAGCTCGTCCCTGCCTCACTCCTCATCGCTCCCATGTAGTTGTAGCGGAGCTCGGCAAATTAGCTGATTTTGACTATAAAAAGCGATTGGAATCAAACAGAAATCACATTGACAACACAGATCAGTGGAGACATTTTATTATTATTAATATTTAGTTTTTCTTTAGTTGTTTTTCCGTTACATTGGAGTATGACAGGTGAGGCTCTGCCTCCCCTGCCTCCCCTGACTGCACGTCGTTGGTGTGTGAGCATAAATAAGAATCACTGGAAGCTGGACTGGGGTGGCAATTTGAAAAAGGGATTTTCTTAACTTTTACCCAATGCATGCACGGGTATATCCCTGTCCCTCATCTCACTGATGCTGTTTAATAGAGCGGTGCAGGGATGACGTATTTACCCTGAAGTAAGCTGCTGACAAAAATAGCAATGGGATTTCTCCAGAGGATTTTGGAATATAGCTCGAAATAAGGTCTGTGGAAAACGAACTTGTTTGATAAATGCACGTTTTGTTCAGCCGGATAATCTCCACATGTCTATCCTACTTTTATAATGTTCTAATCATAAATCTAATCTCCAGAAGCTAAATGCTAACGTTATGCTATAAAGGAACTACAGCGAGTCCAGCAGCACGACTTCAACGTCACGCCAACTTAAAGGTCCCATGTCATGGCCATTTCTACTGATCATAATTCCATTGTCGAGGTCGACTAGAATAGATTTATACTGTGCAATTTTCCAAACTCACATTGGTTTCTCAAACAGCATCTCTGTAAAGTATGTGTGTCCCCCAGGTATTCACTCTCTGTCCTCACAGGGGGGGCGAGCTCCAACAAGCCTTGTGCTCTGATTGGTGCCAAGCCCGCCTAAACCTGCCATCAGGCCCTGGGGCTTTGTAGGCCCCCTATTTAAACAACAAATCAAAGTCAGTTATAGCCTCGGCAGGCTCTGTGATTACACACACACACACACACACACACACACACACACACACACACACACACACACACACACACACACACACACACACACACACACACACACACCACTAATTGAGCACCATGAACAGCAACATATGGCCTCAATGCCAGGTATCAGTAGATGAGAATGATCATTATCTCCGGTGGATTAACACAAACCTATGTAAAACGATGCACATTTAAACCTGCAGGCTACTGGGAATCAATGAATAGTGCAGCATTGCCTTACCTCTTTAGCAGTGCTTCCGAAAAAGCCTTTATGATGTTCTTAAAATCGATCTCACGAAGAATGTCATGCTCAATTGACATCAGTGTTAGTTTTCCTTTTCCGTGCGCCACTCTCAAACTTTAACAACCTTCATCTGTCACTCAATCACTCACAATTTGAATAAGTCACATGTGAAACATATTCTCATTCTGATTGGCTGTTAAGTGGTGCCCACTGACTGTTTCATCATTTTTGAGAAAAATCACTGGAATCCATCGATCTGATTGATTAGCGGAGCAAATGATCAAAATACTACGTACTACTACTTCTTCCCTTTACAAGCTTCAAAAATGTATTTATCGTTTGATTTTGGTAATAAAAGTGTCATATTCTGAAAGCCAAGACTTTGTTTATTTAACATTTTTAAAAAACATCCGAAATAATTTTTTTTTTATTGGCTCATGATAGGCCCCCGATCTCCGTAGGCCCCTGGGCTTCAGCCCAGCTGAATCAGCTGAAGTGACTTGACTGACTTCTTGGTACACCCTGATAATAAGGAGATACAATAATCCAGCCTTGAAGTAACAAATGCATGGACTAGTTTCTCTGCATCGTTTTGAGGCAAGATATGCCTGATTTTTGCAATGTTACGTAGATGGAAGTAGGCGGTCCTTGAATTTGATTTTATGTGGGCGTTAAAGGATAAATCCTGATCAAATATAACACCAAGATTCCTTACAGTCTCACTGGAGGCCAAATTAATGCCATCCATAGTTAGTATACCTTTAGATAATTTGTTTCGTAGATTCTTCGGGCCAAGTACAATAACTTCAGTTTTGGTCGTGTTTAACATCAAAAAGTTTAAGGTCATCCACGTTTTTAAGTCCTTGAGGCAGTCTTGAATTTTATTTAGATGATTAATTTCATCAGGCTTGATTGATAAATATAGTTGAGTATCATCCGCATAACAATGAAAGTTTACAGAATGATTCCTTATAATATTGCCTAACGGAAGCATATATAATGTGAACAAAATAGGTCCGAGCACTGAGCCCTGTGGCACTCCATGGCTAACTTTGGTTTGCGTGGAAGATTCATCGTTGAGGCTCGGTGCCCTCGGTTTTGAGCCTGGTCTTGGGCACTACCAGCAGCAGCTAGTCAGCAGACCTTAAAGCTCTGGCTGGGGTGTAGCGATGGAGGACTTCAGCTATATAGGCCGGAGCCAGCCCATTTAGGTCTTTGAAAACAAATAAAAGACGTTTAAAATAAATTAGATTCTAATTGTGGCCTGGTCCATACCCACGTACAGAGCATTGCAGTAATCCAGTCTCGAGGTAACAAAGGCGTTAATAACCCTTTCTAGGTCTTTAAAAGATAAAAACGACTTGGTCTTAGCCAATAGTCGTATTTTAAAAAAGCAGGTCTTGACTACGGTGCTGACCTGCTTATCAAATTTAAAAGCGCTGTTGAAGGTCACTCCAAGGTTCATGACAGAGGGGAGGATGTTTTTATTGAGAGAGCCCAGAATATCAACCGGAGAGGCTGGAGGTCGGGGTCCAAAAAAGATGACCTCGGTCTTGCTCTCGTTGAGGACATTTTTGGCTCAGCCAGGATTTGATCTCTGCTAAGTAAAATAAATAATTACAAAACAAACATAAACATTTTGCAGTGCATAGTCATGTAAGAGAAATCAAAACAAAAATGACATTTACAACAACAACAACAACAACAACAACAGCATTAGCAACATAAACAAGGAGGCGTGTGGCGCAGTGCATTGTGCGCTGGTGTTCGGATCAGGTTCAAACCCCACTGCAGTCAGCATGTCGTTGTGTCCCTGAGACACTTCACCCCAAAGTGCTCCTGTGGGGATTGTCCACAGTATTCAGTATTTAGTGGCTTTGGATAAAAGCGTCTAACAAGTGACATGTAATGTAATAAACAGTCCCACATCTAGTGTTCGAAAAGGAGTGAGAAGAAGTATAATGTATTTAATCTCACCTCCTTGTCCCTAAATGATTTATTTATAATCTATAATCTGCAATAATTATCATTTTTATACATTATTATTAATCTGCTTTACCTGTTGATTGACATACACATACATATGTACATACACACATACATACTATGCACATATACACATAGTCAAACACCTTCCCCATGATGATGATGATGATGATGATGATGATGATGATGATGATGATGATGATGATGATGATGATGATGATGATGATGATGATGATGATGATGATGATGATGATGATCCATTCACAAGGTTCAAGGGACTCCACAGGTGCAAACAATAAGGGCGGGGCAGGTAATCAGGTCAGTGAGCATACTGACAAGGTAGGAGTCGAACTACCTGAAATGAGAAAGGAAATAACAAAGTAAAACAGGAAATGGCAGA